TGTGTGAGAAAGAGGGAAGGAAGGTTTAGAGGATGAAGACATTTATAGCTCGTAGGAATTGAGCTATGAATGTTTGTAATGGGATAACTGTGATCACATCCAAAAACACTAAACACCCACTAATCACACTCCGGTCATTCCACGTGGTGCGACAGTGGAGGAAGGAAGTGAGGATGGGAAGGAGATGCGGAAAATCATGGTCTCTACTATATGAAACTACTTTGTGTGCATACGCGTCACTTCCAGGAGGTGTTGGTGTCACAGGAGGAAAGGGACCATAGCGGAGGATAGAAAGCTTGCGCAGGAAAGGAAGGTCCCGGCGGTTGACGGGGGACTAATCTGGTTATTAATAAAACGAGGGTGCTGCTCTGGTTAACGCGGTCGCCTCTTTTCACCTTGGAATTGCCCGAAATACAGCGAAAAGACACGGACAATGTCCTGGATTGAACCTGCAAAAAAGCCGCACTGAACGCCTCAGTAAGCATCGGACAATGACGTTTCACTCTATGAGCGGATCAAGATCGGGTTTTTGCCAATTAGAGCAACTATTCGGTGTGTCTCATAAATCGCGCTTGGTTGCACAGGTCAATATGAAAAAGGTCAGGCAGGTTCAGCCATTGCGCCTTGATAAGTTTTGAGATTGAATTCACCTCTGAAAAGATGCGATCGGGAAAGCAAATATATTATATGCATGGCTCCGAAGAAAGCAAACCCTTCACATTTTGGTCCACATGAGAATCTCGGTAAAACTTGCCGAAAAACCCAAGTCAAAGAAATCGACGGAAAAGCACCACGTCCTTGAATTTGCCACCGCGTGTCCTCTTTAAAAACCCCACTATGGCCCCATCTAAGACTTTACTGACGTTACAACTCTCGTCATTAGAGACATCCCAACGGACGGTTGACCCTGCTCGAGAAAAGCACATAACTCCCTACATTAGGGGTTTTGCAGTCGATCAGGAGGGACAGGAGATGAAATGTACGGTAATCTGCAATAAAAAGCGCTCAGTGCAATAATGAAAATAAGTGAAATAAGATGGAGCGATACTGAAAGGAAAGATCCATGAAACGGAAACAATAGCATCGGCTCACAGAAAGGAAATCGGCGTAAGAGACGAGTTCTAGTTCGGTTGTTGTCGCTTAGACAATGCCCTAGTTCTTCGGCAAAAGCTGTGGAACGGGCGAACGAATCATATGGAAAGAAGGAAAATCCGGATCATTCGTGAGCGGTGACGCCGCCCTGAAGAAAACGAAACACTTCAAGTATTGAAGTCGCCCGCACACATTGTAAAGCAATTATGGTCTTTGCCTAAACAGCGGAGTCCGTTACTGTAATCTGTGGAACTGCTGGAGCTGGTAGGTGAAGGTCTTTCGTAACCATAAGTGATGAGATCGGCTTATCGCATTTACACCGCTTCACTACCAGTTTGGAGCAACAGCTGGAATTGTTCGTTTCTTTCAT